GGGGGGGGGGGGCCTTGAAATCCAAAATGGAAACGTGTAGGATGTTGGACGAAAAGTGCTTACTAGGCTTAAATCATTTCCAAAAGTTAGTTTTAAATCTCCTCATTGAAATAAGAAGGAAAACAATCGGGCTTGTTTAACTTTCTGAGAGCTTATCAATAAGTGGTTAATAAAACACAAAGCCCCCAAATTTGCCTGGCTGTGTCATGGAGATTACGCGGCGATGGAGGAATCGCCAAGCCCTTTCCCAGAGGCGCTTTATGCCAGCCAGTCCCCCAACCCTGCCAAGCCACAGGGTGCTTTACGGCCGGGACGGAGGCCACAGAGCTAACCGCCAACCAGATCCAGGCGCGCTCTCCACAGGGCTGTGGGCAGGGGAGAGGCTCCCTCCACCCTCCTAGGCTCTGTGGGCTGTTCTAACAATTAAAGGGACATGAGAGAGATTAGAGCACCAAGAGAAAATACGCAGATTTTATCACATACCCACACACATGAGAGGTTCGCAGGCAGAAAGCTAAAACGAGGCATACATGGCATTCTGAGCTAAGGGTCACTGAAGGCACCTAGGGGCCTCAGAGGGGAGGAAGGTGATTCGCAGGATGGTGAGAGCAGCAGATGTTCAGTTATTAGACGTTTGCCCTGCCCCATAGATAGGTCCCAGAAGGTTATTTCTGGTGGTCACTGATATTATGGGCAAGCCTCTCAATTTAAATCTTTAAGGGAGAAGCAAAAGTTTATCTTGGGGCCACAGGGTCTCGATTGCCTTCAGCTCAAAAAAATCCACATGCCAGCACGTGGGGGAGGGGAGGCCTGGTCTGCACCCCTCAGAGAAGAGAGGTGAGCTGTGTCACCAGCTCAGACAGTGTGAGCAGGGAGGGCTTCAGAGCTCGGCTGCGCCAGTCATTTCAAGGGGCTAGCAGTGCACAAGGCAGTCAAATGAAATTCTGTGTGCAACTCCAACGTATAAAACATATGGATGACTCACTATACAACACTAAGAGTATGCAGGGTGGGGCACAAGTAGGTTTACAGTTGTGAGTGCTGGAAGCAGAGTTTACTCCTTTATTATTATTTATTACTGTATTATTTTCCATACGAACAACTGTAAACCTACTAGTGCCCCACCCTGTATATTCATACAACAAATATTTGTCAAACGTTTACTAGCGACCAGGCACTGTTCCAGGAAATGGTAGTACAGTCCCTGTCCTCATAAAACGTATTCTAGTGAATGTATATCATAAAATTCAGTACCCCAAAATTCTACCCAAACTGAAACAAGTCACAGCACCTACGGTGAAAGTTTCCGGTCCAGTCTGGCCTTCTCATTTCCTGATGTGCAATCTGAGGCTCAGCATGGTTAGGTGATTTGGCTCAAGGACAGGCATCAGTGGGTAGCAATAAACATACCAGTTGAAACTACTCAGCAATCTGGAGGACGGATGAGCTAATAACGCAGCCTTTGAGGCTCACACTTCTTTTATCTATAGTGCAATAAACTAACAGACAATCAAAACAACTAAATGAAGTCACCATCAATAGGTTGAAATGATGCTCTGGTGACCCCAGTAAGAAGGCAGTAAATGTCTAAGTGTCTAGTGCATTTTGAAAAGTTTCCATCTCAACACAGTTAAAACGAAGAGTTAACCCTGGGGTGCCCATAAAACTGAATGCCCTGAACCGCTACAGTGGAGAGGTGCTCAATGCCCAACTTCCCGATGTACCTCCCCCCTTTTGAAAAGCAGACAGCGGCAAAGTCCCTCCTCCCAACCCACACACAAGGTCACTTGCTGGCCACTCTCCCTCCCCACACCACAGAAAGGAGCCACTCCTCCAAAGACACTTCTCACCCTCGGCCTGGTGACAAGATGCCTCTCCGAAGGGTAGTCCAGCTCCAGTGGCTCTATGCAATGAGAAGTTGCACACACCACCTACCTTAGAGTTTCTAGCAGTCAGGATTTCACATAATCCTGTTCTTTAGCATGCACAAAATGCCCAATAAAAGGTGATGCTGCAAACTTGTTTTCACATAAATCAATAGATAAATTGGAAACAAATGTCGGGCAATGGGCCGGGTCTGGTAAACCCATGGCCCTGTGTGGATGTCAGGGATGGCACTGCACTTGGGCAGGAGCAGGAAGGAAGGAGAGAGGGAGGGCAAGCCCCACAATCACTTAGACTCCTGTTCCCTTGGGGAAGGAAACACAGGACTGACGACACTCCAACAGCATCACCACTCCCTCCAATGCACTCCATCCTTTCTGATGAAAGCCGGGTGGCCACATGAAAGGTCTGGTTTAACAGCTCTTGCTCAGAGCCGAAGTAACAACTGCACTGTTTTCCTACAGCTGAGGAAACACTTTCTCACAGTTAATTTCACCAGTCATCAGGCCCTCAAAACAGCAGGGCCTTCTTCCCAGCCCTCCTCTCCTTTCATCCTTGAAATTTATCTGCTTCCACCTCTCGCTTGAAGAGGAAGGAATGGGGAGGTGTGTGCCTTTCCCCAGCAAATGTCCACATGTGACTGCTTTTTCAAATGGATTTCCCAGCACCCCCTCTACCCTCTCCTAACCAGGTCCTCGTGACAAGGCCAGCTGGCACAAATCCTGGGCAGCACTGGGGAGGATGTTTTGATTCAGGAACCGGCTGCCTCCAGGACACCACTATCTTTCTTTCTCTCTTTCTCTTTCTCTCTCTCTCTCCTTCTCTCTCTCTCTCTGTCTGTCTCAAACACACACACATGCAACCTCCCCCTGCAACTGTCCCCCTAACTTGAGAAACTTCTTGCTAATGTTCTTAAAATACTTTTGCAAAAGGAACCAAGGCCAAATGAAGGAGCCTTCGAATCATATTTTTTTACCAAAATACCAAGAGAAATGAAAAATTCTTACATAGGGGCCACCACCCCAACTTTCACCCTTTTTACTCATCAGGGCATTGCCTATGCAAGCGGGATGGGTGGGCAGAGGGGAGTCAAAAGACAGGTTTCTCCTGAGGCTCTTTTTAAGGAAATAAGTTACTCAGGTTGGGAGCGGTATTCCCTCTGCTTTTTAAAACTATAAAGAGAGAGCTCTCCTATAACCCTAAACTGTGAAGACCAGCACCCCAGCATCCAAAGCAAACACAATGGACCACAAAGCCAGGCTGATGCACAAACTAAATGGACCACTATTGGTAAACAGGCCCAAGGGGTAGGCAGTTCAGGAAATGGGCCTTAATTACAGTTATTTGTTCAGTCAAACCTAGCATTTCTCAGTCAGCTTGGTGGAGTGGATGCTGGACTGAGCCGAGGGCTCCTTTGAAGACTCTGTCTTGCCTCCTTCCTTGCCCCAGAGCGCCAAGGGGCAGGAAGCAGGTTGGGAGCCAGGGCAGAGCTGGCAGGCAGCCGTAAGCCTCCGTGGAGAAAGAGACATCAGAGAGTACTAGGTCTGAACTCCCAGACAAGAAGCTGGAGGGCCAGGGGGAGTCAATAAAGTAGGAAATAACTAAAAAAATCTTTCTGGGCCCTGACTTGCTGGTGGTGGGAGGAGGAGACCTGGGGAGACTTCAGAGCTTGCTGGAGTGAGTAGAGCAGGTTTGGCAGGAATGTGGGTGAGCCCAGGCCAAGGAGAAAAGCTGGCGTCTTGAGCAGCCTGGAGGAGGTGATGGAAAAAGGAAGTGGAGCCAGGCTCCCAAACAAACCAGCCCAGAGCAGAATAAAAGCAGAAATCTCTTTGCAGCAAAAGCAGAGAGCACTGGACAATTCTAAAGTACCTTTCCAAGGGTGGTTCAGGGGCCAGAGGCTTGGGCACCACTGGCAGCCTGTCAGGTCCCCACCCAGACCTACTGATTCAGAACTGGAATCTGCATTTTAATAAGCTCCCCAGGTAATCTATGGCTGGCTCAAATTTCTACCCAAACTCAGGGGAGTATGGTAAGTGTTTTCCTTCTGCAAGGGCAGGGTCTTCTGTTCTGAGTATCCAGTATGTGAAACAAGTCCAATGGCAGGCGCAGGTGTGTATTCAGGCTGCACCTTTAAACAGTCCTGTGTTCATTCCACACACTTGACAGAAGGTTTCCCTAGCTCTGCCTTCAGGACTCTTCAGTGACAGCAACTAATAAAAGCAAGTTCCCAGTAGGATCAAACACCACAATGCCACAAGAAAAGGGGCTGACACAATGAAAAAGATGTCTTTAAATAATTTAATATGGAAAAATGCTAACAGAAACTTCCGTGAGGAAAGATAAATACACTAAAATATCAAACAGAGTTGTGAAGTTATACAATCTTTGTTTTCTTTACCATGTCATGCTTTTTGCAAGTTTTCAACACTAGCATGAATTTCATAAGTTTTCTAACTGAAGAGAAAATTTAGTAGTTGGAAAAAGAGTAGAAATCTTCTGAACCAGAAGAAAGTAAAAAGCCATTTAATTTGCTACCCTCTACATGTGTTATGACTTGCTATTTTATTTACAAAATTCATTTCATTGGGGTACATTAAATAGCAAGACAACCTTGGCAAAATTGAAGAGTATTAGAAGAAATATCATAAATTGAGTTTCAAGGATAGCTTTAATAAAGTGCTCCCAACCTCACTCTCTGGGGTAAGCCCCTCTGGGGAACATCCTAATGCACTTCCTGTAAGAGGAATCACCCCACCAAGCAACCATGGATGGGCCACTGTTTTCAGGTGATTTCTCAGTGGCAGGGCAAAGTTTTACTGATCCACTATCTCTAGCCATTACCTCTCATCAACACCAGCAAGCTCAGTGTCTACAAGGAGACTTGTGAATTTGTGATATGGTGGTCCCTGGACAGATATTTTACTCTGTAAGAACAAAACTGGGCACACATGAGAACAACACCCAAAACTGTGGCCTCATCTGCTCCTACCCAGGAGTTCTTACACCCTGCTACTTTATTATTCCTGTGCCACATGCTGGACCAAGGGGGTCCATCACTAAAATTAAATCATGGTAAATTTCTCCTAATTCACAGGAACTTTCTTAACTCTATCAAATTCATCACAGTTGGAATTAGGTATCTTGGGAATGATTTATTTTAAATCCATCAAGGAAAAAAAAGACTATCCATCTTGTTCTAGGCTGTGTCCCCGGTGCCTAGCCTGGTGCCTACAACAAAGCAGGCGCTCCATAAATATCTGTTAACCAATTCAGGAACTCTTTGTCTACCAGGAGAGATAGGACTCTTATTGAAATAACTGTGGCATGCGATGGACAGGCACAGAGCTACATGAATGGTGCATGGTGCAGCCCCATAGAGGGAAACGTGACTTCTAGCTGAGGTCATCTGGGAATGCTCCTGGAAGAAGTGGTGTATTGTTTTTTTCTTGGTGTTTTTTTTTAGTGTTTTTTTTTTTATAAGAGCCAAATGTCTGGCACAGACCAAAGGCAAATATAAAAATATTTCTACCATCTAAAAAGAGGCATCTGCTTCTTGATTTCTCTCTTTGCATTTTAAAGATTATAACGGCAGGTATGCCCGGTATAGGATTAGTGATACTGTGTGAGTTCGGTGTTCCAGGGGCCTGTACCCTAACTTCATACACATGAGCTGACCCTCTGCTGAGGCTTACACTTCCCTCCTGAGACTATACTCTTCCATTCTCACACTTCCATCAAAGTGAAACGCTTTGATCAGACCTTCCCAAACTACCTGTCATTCTAACCTGATAACCGCCTGCGAGATAGGCAGGGAGAGTAGCATTATTCCTCCCATTACAGAGATGAATGTGAACCCTGGATAAGTTTCTTTACTTTTGCAACTCATTCTAGTTCTTTCTAACATAGCACCCTGCAAGCGTAAGAGTAATGAGAGCAAAACCTTGAGAGTGCAAAGAGAGCGTGGAGACTGGTAACACTAGAAAAGACAAAGAGAGCAGCTTGGCTACCTTGATACTGCTTTGAAAGCACAGGGTTATGCTGTGTGCAAGTGTCATATGCACTTGCATATGCACGTGTGTGCACGCCATGTGCATGCATGTGCACCTAAGAAGAGCAAACAAAGCCCCAGAGACAGAAGAAAGCCCCAGAGCCCCAGCCCTACTTCAAAGTGTCATACTGTGCAGCAAGTCCCACAATTTAAGAAGGCAGAAAATTATATGCTGTGCTGCCCTCAAAACACTAAAAATTAAAGATGGGAGCGTCTTAGGCAGCCAGGAAGATCCTTCTACCCATAGTCATTACAAATAATAGTTACCTACCATTTCTCAAACACTTCCTCTGTATCTAAGCACTACAATAAGGTGCTTCCAAGACATGCTTTCATTTAATCTTCAAAAGGGCCCTATAGTGTAAGCATCACGAGCCCCATTTTACAGATGAGGAAAGCTGATTCTCTGATTACAAAGCTCAGCAGGATTCCAAAAACTGTTTTTACATTACCACATCTCCAGGAGACCTGGAATACACTGTTCTGAAGCCTTCCCCCTCTGTCCCCATATAGAAACATAAAATCAAGAGACCCCAAAGCAGGCACGTGCAGGGAAGCCGGGTGCAGCCAGAAGAGCCCTCAGGACCTTCATCTTCCTCACCGGCCCTCGCTGAGCGCCACTGGCGAGGCTTGCAGTGAGAGCACAGTGAGGACACAGGCACCCAGCACTTAAAAATGATGTCAGATACCAATGTTACTCTTAAATGTCCAAAAAGGAAGCTCAGAGGTTTACAGGGCTGGTATCTGCACCTCGTTCCTCAAAAGCAGCTATCATCTCATTTCCTCAAACTCAACCCAGAGCCGATGCTCAGGAAGACTTCCCTGTTGCCAGCTCTCTTCCCACTGCTCAGGGTACTTCCCAGAGGACGAGGAACCCAAGGGCTCCCTTCCTCTTGGCAGCGCGAGCTGCTCTAGGAACCTAAGCTTTAGCATCCTAGGCCCATCAGCCAAACTTCACACGTGACCAAAAAGCTATTCCCTTTTGTATTTCTGTTCACCAACGTTTTCCAAAGGGGGGTTTGGGGAGTAGAGTTGTATCACTACCTAAACAAATAACAACAAAGGCAACAGCTCCCAGTGACACAGCGCTCACTTCCAAGTGCTGTGACGGACTCGATTCCATTGGGCAAGGCCTCCCACCCGTGAGGCAGTGACTCTCATCATTCTCCCCACTGTAGCAATGAAAGACTTGGGACGAGGAAATTAAGTTGCCCAAGGTCACAGCTTATTAGGGGTGAGGACAGGACCCAAAGGCAGCTGTGATTTCAAAGTGAGCATCTTAATGGCCACACCAAACTGAGTGTGGAAAAGAAAAAGAAAAAGGAATAGCACTTTATAAAAACAGTAATTCTTTTGGAAAACCAAGTCAAAATTCATTTTCCAATTAAGTTATTGCTTAATAAATGAAAATACTAAATAAAGAACCAACCACTTCTCCAAACAACAAGGAAGTGTACTTCCGTCCTGCCAACCCCATTACTCAGGAGCAGTTTAACTGATACATGGATGGCTCCAGGTTCTACTGCCAGTGTTTATACTTTGTGATTTGTATAAACAAAATCATCTCTCATGCCTCTGACAACATCTACTACCACTCTGTGTAACTTACAATTAAACCTCTGTAAATATTTAATCTCATGATCACACAGAGATGAGTCAACCATCTAAGAATGACTAAGAGTGACCAATCGCCACACTGCAGCCTCTAGCCCACTGACCGAAAGTCCCACTGTGTCTAAGTCCCAGATGAATAAGTCCTCCAATGTATAGTCAATTTAAAAAATTAATACAATTGAGAGCCCAGAAATAAAGCCTAACATTTATGGTCAATTAATTTTTGAGAAGTGGGCCAAGATAATTCAAAGGAGAAAAACAGTATTTTCAAAATAGGGTGCTGGAACTGGGTATCCAAATGCAAAAGAATAAAGTTGAACCCCTTCCTTATACCATACACAAAAATTAACTCAAAAATGGATCAGAGCTAAATGTTAAATTAAAACTATGAAACTCTTAGAAGAAAACACAGGATTACATCTTCATGACCACAGGTTAGGCAAAGCATTGTAAGATATAAGACCAAAAGCACATTCACACCTGAAACTAACAGAAAATAATATTCAATGTAACCTGTAAATTAAAGAAAAACAGACCAAAACACAAGCAACAAAAGAAAAAATAAACTGGACTACGTCAAAATTTAAAACTTTCATGCTATAAATGACACCATCAAGAAAGTGAAAAGATAACTCAGAATGAGATAAAATATTTACACCTAGGTTATAAGGAGCTATTATCTAGAATATATAAAGACTTCTTAAAATTCAATAATAAAAAACAACCCAGGCCCCACCTGCATGGCTCAGCGGTTGAGCATCAACCTAGGATCCAGGCGATCGAGGTTCAATTCCTGGTCAGGGCACATGCCCGGGTTGCGGGCTCAATCCCCAGTAGGGGGCGTGCAGGAGGCAGCCGGTCAATGACTCTCATCACTGATGTTTCTATCTCTCTCTCCCTCTCCCTTCCTCTCTCTGAAATCAATAAAGACATATTTAAAAAACAACAACAACAGCCCAGTTTAGAAATGGGCAAAGGATCTGAATAGACATTTCCCCAAAGATAAGTGAAAGGACAGTAAGCACCTGAAAAGATGTTTAACATCATCACTCATTAGGAAAATGCAAATCAAAACCAAAATGAGATAAAACTTCACACCCAATAGGATGACTATAATTTTTTTTTAAAAAAGGACAATTGTAAGTGTTGGGGAGGTTGTGGACAAACTGAACCCTCATCCACACTGCTGGTGGGAACGCAAGATGCAACAGCCTCTTTGGAAAATGATTTGGCAGTTCCTCAAAAGTTAAATATAGTCACTATACAACCCAGCAATTTCACTCCCAAGAGAAATGGAAATATGTTCACATAAAAACTTTTAGCAAATGTTGATAACAGCATTGTTTAAAACAGCCAAAAGGTGGAAACAACCCGAACAACTATCAACTGATAAATGGATGAGTAAAATGTAGTATATTCATAAAAAAGGAATGAAGTACCGACACACGCTCCAACATGGATGAACTTTGAAAACATGGAAAAAACGTGAAAGAATCCATCATAAAAGACTGCATATTGTATGGGTCCATTCCTATGAAATCTCCAAAATAGGCCAATTCATACAGGCAGCAAGTAGATTAGTAGTTAGTTGCCAGGGCTCTGAGGAAGTTTGGGG